TGGGATGCAAGTGGTACGCAGGCCTGTGGATGTGAGCGGGGAGCAAGCCTCGTGCTGGGCCTCTGCTGAAGGATGAATTTCAGCYCAGCTTCTTAACCTCATGGACATGCAAACATAGAGCAATGGCTTCTTAGACACAGAGCAAGATGCTCCCAGAAAGGCTGTGTGATGTGCTTTACCAACAGGGTGGTGTATGTGTGCCTGCAGCAGTGTCCTCCTTCTCCTGGACAGGGGACCCTCTCATGGCACGGTCAGTAACTGTGATTTATGACAGCTTCCACTCCAGAGGAAGAGGTGTTTTGCTACCCTCTGCACGTCCACAGTCATGGGSCTGTGTTATGCAGCAGGGTGGCTTTGTGAATCCTGGATATCCTTTGTGCRCAAGAGATGCCAAATAAAAGCAGGCAGGAAGGGGTCCTTGGCTCTAGCATCTCTTATCCTGCATTGCTTTAGATGAAGGATGACCTTTACCTGCTCCTGCAAGKTGGCTCTCACCAAGCTCAACATGTCAGCCTCAGTTTCAGAGGCCCATCAGGCACTGAAATCAAAGGCAATCTTCCTTTTGGTGTCCCAGCCCACTGAGTTCCCCTTGCTGCAGTGGGCAGCACCCTTGTATTTTCTGCTTCTATCCCCCAAAGTGTTTAACTCTGAATGTTCCACACAGCTACTGGTATCTCTTAAATCAACCTCCCACCTTGAAAAAATATGTGTAGGATGCTAGAGTCTATTTCTGACCCTTAGAAAACACATTTATTTTTCATTGAGGCTTTGCTTCGGGACGTATTTCCAGGCCCTGCATCCCTGCAAGAGCTGTGAAGAAAAAGTAAATCAGCCAATATCAATGGAGAAAAAAAATACYGAAGAAAAGAAGATATTTGCAGTGATGTATTTCTCAAGAAAATGGGCATTAGTTGGGTGATTCTTGGCCAAACCAAGCCAGCTGTTTCTGAGGATTTGGAGAGGTACAGGCAGGTGTCAAGGGGCAAACCCAAACGAACTAGATGGTCTAGGCACTGCTTGAGCACAGCAGAGGGAAATGGAGACAGACTGTTGCTGGAAGAGTATCCCTTGCCTGGATCCGGCTCCGCTGCCTAYAGAAGCCCTCTGCTCTCCTGAGGAATACAGTTTCTTTTCAGAGTTGTGGAAATGAGCCATTCCTATGCAAGCGGCAGGGCAGGGATAAACACCATCCTTTTCCCCAAGAGCTGGGACAAGGTGGGCGCACTCAGAGAGTGGGWCTGGGCTGGGAGCTGGCGGCGGGGCCACTCCGTGTCCGCTCCCCGCGGAACCCCTCAGGGCGCGCCCGCTGTGCRAAGAGAGCCGGACCCGGGAGAGGGCGGAGCGCCGTGCCGTGCCGTGCCGTGCCGGACCAGACCAGGGTCCACCGCCGGCAGGTGACCGAGGCGTGCGGGGCCGGTGCGGGCTGGAGGAGACGCGGTCCCACCGGCGGCACCAGCGGCGGGTCGCTGCCCCGGGACCCGCCGCCTCTCCGCGTCGCGTCGCCGGCCCCGCCGTGCGGGGGCGTCCCCGGCGCGCTGCGGTTCTCACATAAATCAGAACCGAGCTCCTGGGAAAGGGCCATCCTTCACCGGGCGCTGCTGACAGAGAACGAGAACCAGACGGGCCCTGAGATAAACCACGGCGCGCAGCGTTTACACAAGGGCAGGCTCTGTGTAAATAGAGCCGRGCGCGGGGGGCAGCTCCCGGCGGCGCGGTCCGCTCCGGCCGCGGCCCCAGCCCGCGGGCCGCCGGGCTCCCGGGGCGGCGGGCAGGTGGGTACCGCCCGCCCAGCGTCTCCCGCCGCCGTGCCCCGTTGGCTCCCCGAGCACGGAGGCTGGAGACAGGGCCGGATTAGCGTGTTTGTTTGTTTACGGCCATTAGCGCGGGGCCGGCTCCAGCACTCCGCACCCGCGAGACTAATGGAGCAATTAGCAGCCCCGGGGCTGATAGCATCGCCCCGAGYGAGGCCCCCGGCCGCGGCCGCTGCTACCGGGCTGCCTGCGGCCGGGGCCCTCGGGCGGGAGCGGGCTGCTCGCCCGCCCGCCAGCCGCGGGCCGCAGCAGGGCTGATGCTCGCTCCCCGGGCCCGGGGGGGCTCTTGGCTCTCTTGGCTCCGCTGCAGCATCCGCACGGCGAGCTCCATCCATTACAATAATCCCCTGTCTAAACAGAGCGCAGGAGCGGCCGGGACAACAAGGCCCTGCTGTAAACAGAGCTCAGGGGACGCCGCTAATGATATAAATAAAATAACCATTAATAGCCCGATGACCCCAGCCCAGCCGGCTTGGGAAAGCCCTGCAGCCGCATCCCGGGGCTGAYACCCGCCGGCAGGTACCAGGGCTGCCCTGCTCCTTGCTTCCCCTGGCTTCTATACCTACGTACCACCCACCCCGTCCGGTCGCGCTCCTCGGCGCCAGCCGCCTCGGTACGGGCACAGTCGGGCTCGGCCATCTCCCCTCTTCCTCGGCTCTCCCAGCCGGGAGCTCACCGCCGATCGGCCTCCACCAAAAAGGGGATACTGGCATGGGGGGGAAAGCGCGGGCTCAGTTACCACACCGGCAGACCGGCGGAGGATGAGGCGGCCCRGAAAAGGCCCAGTCGCGGCTTTGCTCCCTGCGCCGGGCGTGGGTTCYCCGAGCAGTCCGTGTGACCGGCAGCAGCACAAATGAGTGGGTCCCAGCGGGAGAACCACTCGCACCGCCGGGGAGACGTCCCGAAGCGTCGTTTATCTCCGATCTGGGCTCCCAGAGCCCGCAGGCCGCGCCGGGCGATCGGCCCGTCCGGGATCCCTCTGCGGGAGCGAGCCAGACCCTGCCGAGCCGGGCCCTGGCCCTCGGAATGGTGGCTGCCGCTCCCGCAGACTGACGGGCAGGCGGACATCGGCTGTGTCCCGGCAGTTTTTATGGCCGGCACCAGCGAGGGCACCGGCCCTTGACGCTGTCCTTCCCGCCGCGAAGCTCGGCCGCGATGGGGCTCCCAGGGAACGCGGCGCTGTGCAGAGCCCGGCGCTCGCCGCGCTGCCGCCGGGGCCCGCGCCTGCACCTCCGCGGGACGGGGGCCCCGAGGCGGGCGGGAGCGGCCCGGGACGGTGGCGGATGTGTAACACCGATAAGAGCTAATTGTTACTAATTCTTTTCGGAGCCCCGGCAGCGACGCAGCGCCGGACTCCTCTGCGCGCCAGCGGCACGGGGCAGAGACGGGCCCCGSTCAGGCCTGCTTTACTGCGGGCGCACTTCCCCGTCCACCGTTCGGATCGCAGGAAGGCGTCTCGTAGGGGGAGCGGGCGGGAAGCAGCGATAAGAGACCGAATAATCGAATTTATATGGCGAGGGGTTTAAGGCTGCTCGGTGGCAGCGGTCCGATGCGCCGGGGGAACGGGAACCGGTCCCACCGCGGCACCGGTAGTACATGAGATGCGGCGAAGTGCTCGAGACTTGGGCTYCTGTTCCGGGCTGCGCCGCCAGTAAATACGTCTCTGGGGCGTGCAGAAAGACGAAGAAACGAGGACACCGACAGAGCSGCTAAACGGCCGAGCCGCCGGACGTTAACAACACGAGGGAAACTCCCGGGAAGACCCCGGGAAGCCCCGGCGCTGGGACACTCACCTGCCCGGCGTACGCGCCCGGCTCCGGTGGCCTCGCCCCGTCGCCGATCCAAACCCTGCGGGGCAGCAGGATTTTAATCACAACGAAAAAATCTCACCAAGGAACCTCTGCCCCTCCCTCGGTGCGCCCGCTGCCCGCGCCGCGGCAGCTCGGAGCCCCTGCAAGAGTCCGAGGGCCGCGGGGAGCGCCGAGGGGCCTCGGCATCGTCCGCATCACCGGGGGCTCAGTCGGTGCCCGGTGAAGCCCTATAGCCGGGGCGCCCTCAGTGCGGAAGAGCTCGGAAGGCTCATTCGGTTCGTCACCCGCCGGCACGGCGGCGAGGCGGCTCCGCGGAGCCACTTTCTGCCCGTTACCGGCGGGAGAAACGAAACAAAACGAAACGAAACGAAAGAAAACGAAAAACAACGAAAGAAAACACCGACGATCACGGTATCGCGCTCCCCACCCAGCCCCGCGTTACCGCGGTCCCGGCCTGCCCGTCCGGCCGGGCCCGGTCCGCCCGACTGGGCCTGGCGGTCGCGGGCTGCGGGGCCCGATCCGGCGGCGGCGGCGAAGCGCGCTTTCCCCTGTGCGGACGCGTGTCRCACCGACTGCGGCGAGCTGGACCGGCCTGCAGATTGGCCCATCCCGGGGGTATTTGCKAGGGCACCGGCGGGGGGACTGGGGCTGGAAGGGGATGCGGAGTGGGTCGGCTACGTGTACATCGCACGGCTACGGTCCGTCCGGGACCGGCGGGGTCGCCGTCGGCTCCGGGAGGGGTGCAGGGCGGCGGAGACGAAAACTCCCCTCCGCTACGCGTCCTGGGCAKTGGGAGGCATTTGCGGGACCGTGTTGGTGGGGCAGAGAGGCCGGGCCGGCGGGGCCGCACATGTCGGCCCTTCCCGGGGCCGGACCGAGCCTTGTGCGGGCAAGGGCCAGCGGGGCGCGCCCGGGCGGGGGTCCCTACCTACCTACACGTGCTTAGCACTGGGGGCCGCGGCGGCGGCGGCCGCTGCTCTCTGCGGGGACCCCGACCCCGGCGCACCGTCCCCGCGCCGGCCGGGAGGGTGACGGGCCGGCGGGGYGCTCTGCGGGAAAGCGGCCTCCCCGAGTGCAGCCTTAATACATTGCTATTTCTGGCCGGGCGGCCGGAGCCGGGCAGGGGGCCGGCTCTGCCTCCCCCTCCCTCCAATGGCGAGGCCGCCCCCGGCCCCTCCTTGCCGTGACGTGCCGGCCCGGGGCAGAGGAGGCTCCCGAGCCTTTGGCTGTCCCTGCAGAAGCTGTAACAAAACGCAGACCCCCAGCGCCGAGCTAATGGAGGCAACTTAGAAGCAGGCGCGGCCCCTCGTCTCTCGGCGCTGCCTGCTCCCCCCGCACCGGGCGCGGCGCTCCCCCCCCGAGCAGCCACCCGAGCGCCGCCGGGCCCGCGGGACTGCTTGGCCGCTTGCGCTGCCCCGATGATGTTACCGAGCCCCGTCACCTCCACACCTTTCTCTGTCAAAGACATCCTCAACCTGGAGCAGCAGCAGGACCCGCACTATGGGGCCCAGCTCCCGCACCACCTGGAGCACCACTTCCACCCCGCTGCCTGCCTGCTTGCGGCCGCCGACGGCGCCCGCTTCTCCGACGGCGAGGAGGAAGAGGAGGAGGAAAAGCTTTCCTACCTGAGCCCCATGGCAGCGCCCGGCAGCCAGGCAGACGCTCGGATCTCCGCCGACAACTACGTTCACGCCGTGCTGCGTGGCTCCTGCGAGGCCCCCGGCCCGGGAGAAGAGCTGGACCCCGCGGTCCGCGACCCAAGTGAGTATCGGCTCCGCTGCACTCCCCCGCACTGCACCGCCCCACCGGGACGGGTCCGCACTGGCTTCCCGTGGTCCGTTCCCAGCCCTCGAGCATCGCCCCGCGAAGCCSCGGTCCTGGCGCTGCAGCTCGCTCCATGTCCCTTGGCCATGTCGAGCCGGGACGGGCACATCGCGGGGCTGCCACCGCCCTCCTCCGCGCCCCGCTCGCCTCCTCCCTGGGGAGTGCCTCCGCTTGGCCCCAATCCGGAGGTGCCGGATCAGGTCCCGGCTTCGCAAAATCGGCAGCGGAGAGGGAGGAACGGGTCGGGTTAGGCCCAGTCCACACCCGCTACGGCGGGGCCCGGCGGAGAGCAGGTGCCCGGCGCTGTGCGCAGCCCGGCCCGGAGCTCTCCTCGCGGTGCCGCAGCGGTAAATTCGCAGCMGGCCCGGAGGTGCGGTAAAATGCCCGGTCCCGCCGCCTGAATCGGGCCCTCGCAAACACAGGCGGTGCCGGAGACGGCTTATCCCAGCTCTGCCTCCCCGCCCGCACCGCGGTGCCCCGACGGGCGCGTAGTGCCGCGGGATCGGCCGGGGCGCGGCGCGGAGCTCTCGTCCGCCGGTGGGGCCCGTCGGGAGCAGCGAGCGCCCGGCGTCGGCGAGGCGCAGCGGTGACCTGTGCTCCCCTGTACAGAAAGTTGCGTCCTGAAGAAGCCGCTGGACGCTGCGGAGAAGGCGGAGGAGACGGAGAGGCCAAAGCAGAGGAGCCGGAGGAAGCCGCGCGTACTCTTCTCCCAGGCGCAGGTCTTCGAGCTGGAGCGTCGATTCAAGCAGCAGCGTTACCTGTCGGCGCCCGAGCGGGAGCACCTGGCCAGCAGCCTCAAGCTCACCTCCACGCAGGTGAAGATCTGGTTCCAGAACCGGCGCTACAAGTGCAAGCGGCAGCGGCAGGACAAGTCGCTGGAGCTGGGCGGCCCCGCGGCCCCGCCGCCGCCGCGCMGGGTGGCCGTGCCCGTGCTGGTCCGTGACGGCAAGCCGTGCCTCGGCGGGTCGCAGGGCTACAGCTCGGCATACAACGGGCCCTACTCCTACAACGGCTTCCCCGCCTACGGCTACGGCAACGCTGCCTCCTACAACCCCGGCTACGGCTGCACCTACCCGGCGGGCACCGGTGGCGCGTCCATGCAAGCCGCCTGCAGCCCGGCGGCGGCCGCCAGCCCCTTCGTGAACGTGGGCGGCCTGGGGGGCTTCAGCGGCGGCGGCCAGCCGCTGCACCAGGCGGCGGCGGGGCCTTCCTGCGGCCAGGGCGCACTGCAGGGCATCCGGGCCTGGTAGCCCGCACGCACTGAGGGTCGGGAGCGGACCGACAGGACGGCTCGGCGGCTCCGCGGCCCCGTTATCACCCGCACCGCAGCCCGGCTGCGCGCCACGCGCCCTGGACCGGAGGCGGCGGCGGGACGGCGCGGCGGGACTCTGGCGCTCCCGCGAGCATCATGCGGGGCCGGCGATGGATGGAGCGGAGCGGCGAGGCAGGACGGGGCCACCCGAACCCGCAGCGAAGCGCCGCCGCCCCGCGGAGCCGCCGCGACGGCCGGGCSGGCCGGGCGGAACGGAGCCGATCGCGCCGCGCCAGCGGAGCAGCTTTGCTTGTAAAAAGCCGACGGCGGGGCCCGCTAGTGCCGCGGCCCCTCTGTCTACTCTGTATCGGTCACTGCCAGCGCCAGCTCGCCCAGTCAGTCAATAAACCAGGTGCAATATTCGCCGCCCGATCCTCCTTCGTCCACCGGCCCGTGCCCGGCGGCGGGGCGGTCGCCGCGTCGTGCCCGCGGGGCAGGGCGGCCCGACCGGCTTGTGAGCGTGCCAAGGGCGCTGAATGGGGCCGTGTAGCTCAGAGCCGGGCCCATTGTGGCCGCCGGGCCGGCGCTGAAAGGAGCCGCCGAGGAAGGTAGCGGGAATAGGCGCTTATTGGATTCGGGAACAAAAGGTGTGGCAGGGAGGCGAGGGACAAAGGGGCCCCGGCGCCGAGATTGACGGGCCGCTTTGCCCCCCACTGAGGCCCAGGCCCGGCGCTTTATGCGCGGGGGCTGCAGAAACGTGCTGGGTTTTGTTCCCCATTCTGGGAGCGCAGGGGAAGAGGAGGGGGGTCCGCGGGCCGCTGATTAGGGCCGGCCGGGCCGGGCAGCCTGAATGCCGGGGCATTATTGCTACATGTTCAGCCATTTCGCTCGATTGCAGGGGGAGGGGGCGGTCGAGGCCCCCAAGCCCCAYGGGACCGGCCGCGGGGTCTCCTGCTGTCCGCCCCGTCCCGGATCGCGCCGTCCCGCTGTCGCCGCCGCGGCGCTCTCGGGGCGGTGGCGGCCCCGCTGCCGCGGCCGTGCCTCTGCCGTGCGGGTCCCGCCGAGCCCCGCCACCGGGGCCGGAGCCGTGCCGGGCAGAGCCGAACACCCGCAGAGCCCCGGCTGGGGCATCCCGGGCGGCAGTGGGGACCAGAGGCGCCGGGAGCTCTCCCGTGCCGTCCGCACATCTGCCGGGCCGCCACGCTGGAGCTCCGGAGGTATTTCCAGCGGAGCCTTCTTGGAGCCGGCGTGACGGACGCAGACCAGGGGCTCGGTTTTCCACCCCCTGACCTAGCGCTGCCCACCATGTCTTCCCCTTGACCTCCCCAGGTGCGTTGTGTGACAGTCCCTCTGTCCTGAGCAGAGGACTAGGCTCTGCCCTCGCAGGTAACCACCGGTGACGCTGCTAAACCGGGTTTTTTTTTTCGCTGCACATTCGCACCATTCAAGCTGAACGGGCTCCTTTGGGGGCTGCCGTTTGAAAGGAACAGGAGAAATTCTTTCCACTTCAGGGACAGAGCAGGCAACCCACAGACCCCAGATCCCAGCCTGGCTCGGCACGACACCCCGCTGTCCTGCGAGCCACCCCGAGGCCAGCAGGCTTCACGGAGCCGGCGCTGGGAGAGGATGCGGCACGCCCAGCTGATTGTTTGCTGGATGGCAGTAAGGTGTCGYAGGAGAGGAAGCCCAGGCCCTGCTCTTGGCTTTCGGAGATGAGTGGTTAAGGGCYTGTGGTCTCGTGGGTAGAAACAGGATAGCCAAGAACAAAGGTAATGCRCTCTCTTCACAGCAGCAGTCAGGCTGGGGAGATTTGTCTCTGCCATAGGAAAGAGTTGCATTTTCCTCCATGTTCTGCCAGACTGTTGTCTGCAAAAAYAGGGGACCTATGTGAGTTCATGCTTCAATGTGCAAGCCAGAGGAACTGGGACCACAATAGAAGCTCCTCCAAAATCAGAGTGTGTGAGAGGAGTTCCCAGCTTAACACATCCCCTCAAAGTACATGGCAGTTGATTAGAAATCCACTGCATCTCAGCAGCACCCAGAGCCTCTGGATGAGACCAGAGCCCCAGCATGGGGYGTGCTGCCTGGGGCTGTAGCCACAGTCTCTAGAGCACAGACAGTTCTGTAAAGTGAAAGGACTCACAGGAACCCCACAGCCACGTTGCAAGAGGTGACACTGGGCAGCACCAGCATGACCCAGCACCAACAGTACCCAGCCATAGTTTTGARGTCAGTATTGAGCTCTTCCCAATTGTATCTGGTGACAACCCTGACCCCTCTCTCCCTGCACGGAGCTGGAACAGCGCCCAGCYGGGCGATTCCAAGGCCTGACTCCAGGCTGATGTTGCATGGCGCTGGAARTTTCTAGATGTCCACCATAGCAAGCCCTATTCCTGGGAAAGATCCCAGCTGTCCCACCAGCTCAGATTGGAGGAAGGGCAAGGGGTTAGTGGGAGGGACCCCTCTGCAGAGCCTCGCCCAAAGCCCCTGAGCTGATGGGGAGGATAAAACAGCACAAAGAGCCGGCGTACTGGAGGGTCTGGAGAAGGGTGGCGGAAGTGGAGCGCTCCAAAGAGGAGGAACAGCCGGCAGAGGCCAGTGGGAGGGAGATGGTGGGAGATTGCAGATTGGACCGGCGGCCCAGGGCGGGGAGACACAATGGAGGGAAGTTGCTGCGTGGCTGCGCTGGAGGCAGCAGCCGCCCATGATGCACCRTGTCCCCCACACCCCAGGCTGAAGCAGGATGCCTGCAGAGGGGTGAGAGGCACGGGGAAATCTCTGGTGGAAATTCCTCTGGCATGGTCCCACTGTGGAGGTGGYGTAACCCAAGGAACATCAGGGAGGGAGGGATGGGGATGGCCATGGCCAAGGGGCAGAGGGCATGTGTTCCTTCCTGGTTGATTGGGGGATTTACTGCTGTTTGGGAAAAAAGATGGGAAGGTGCTGATTGATTTCAAACAGGGATGAGATTCTATAAGTGTACTGATTTAAAGGAAAGGAGGGACTTTTGGGGCAGCTAGGCTTTAACTCCCAGGCCTTAGACCCGTTCTGTGTGCAGACTCCAGTTGTGTTTTTTTAATCAGGTTTCCTGGGCAAAGAGGAACCCATAAGCAGAACTTGTCTCTTGGGTGGAGGCTCTATCCAAAGCCCGGTTTTTTCTGGTTTTCTGTAGCCTTTCCATCATGCTCAGGATCACATGGAAGCTGTTCCTTCTGCAGCACCACAGATATGCCCTTGTTTCTTCTTCCTGACATCTTTTTCCCTTCCTCCCTCCCTCCCTACTACTGAGGTCATACTTCCCCCTCTTCATGTYCATCCTTCTGTCTCCACCACACACTTGCTGCCATCAGCAAGGAGCTCACCTGGGTGCAGAGGGAGATGTSTGCTCCCAGTGAGGCTGGTCAGGCTGCCTTTCAATCTGGGCAGACATCACTGATTTTCTACTTCAGCCGGGTCGTAGCCACCTCCTGCTGCCTGTGTTGGGAGCCTGGGGACCCAGCTGTTTGCTAGGGTGATGCCCAGCTCTTGCTCCTTTATTTGGGGTGGCAGCTCTTGCTCTGCAGAGCTTCCCACTGCAGCTGCCCCAGCCCTTGAGTTGGCAACTGCTGAGGCTGTTTGGCCACTGAGGCTCTGTGGAACCGTCAGGTCTCAAAGATGCTGGAAGCTCCTCCTGGYAATGGCAATGTGGGGTTATCACACAAGAACTCTCCAGTGCCAAGAAAGCTGCTGCCAGCCATGGATCAGGTAATTAAAGTATTGGTACTTGTGCTGTGGAGCCTCCAGCCAGGCTCTCTCCCATTACCTGCCAGCACACGGGGCAGGGACCCGCCTCCCTTCCTGGGGTGAGTCACTGCATCACAAGRTGACTACACCTGCCTGAGCAGGGCGCCGGGGCTTGCACGGTTTAGCTGTTCCTTCTTCCTGCAGTGGTGAGACCAGGCACAGCGCTGCTGCTCGGGATCCAGGTGACCCACGAGGGATCCACTCTGATTCAACCAAGGATCCGGGTGACCCGTCCACAGAGGGGGACTGAATCTTTGTCCCTTCCAGAGCAGAGTGCTGCTRAAGGTCAAAGCCGCCCCTGTGTCCTGCCAGAGCCCTTCCCGGCTGCACCATGCCACCATTTCCCGCCCGGGCAATAAAACCCACAGACACTTCCCCAGGAACGACCCTTCTCCGCTCCCGGGGCTGCTGCGGGCGGGCGGTGCCGGGGCCAGCGGGGTCCCGGGGTGCTGCCTGGGATCCTCCGGTCCCCCGGGCTGCCAGCAGGGACAGGGACACTCGCTGCCGGGGCCTGTCCCCAAGCGAGATACGCCACCGCCATCTATCGGCCACCGCCCGGGGACAGGGAGCGACAGACGCCCTTCTGTCCCAGCCATCCCGAGCCGCGGGGTTCTGTCGCTGATGTTGGCTCGGTTTGGGGATGCCCTAGTCCCCCTACAAGACYTGGAGSGCTGCRGAGSGTCGGGGCAGGGTGTCGTGTCCCCRCTAGGAAGGGCAGCGGGACAGACTGGACATCAGGAATGCTGGTCTGGTTGCGTGGGCTTTGGGCAGGTCGGTGTCTCCCACGGCAGAGCCCTGGGGCACTCCCGACCCACGCGGGAACATTGCTGCACCGGGAAGCAAAGGACGCACCCACCCGTGCCCCGCTGCGAGGGGAGAGCTGGGGACAAGGCCAGTGTCCCCCCCCTAGCCTCTGGCCACCGTGCAGGTCCCTCGCTAGCGAGCAGTGCCTTGCTGTGTTCTTCTGGATGAGCACAGGCACCAACATGTCTCTGTGAGAAATCCAACAGATTTCCAGCTGTGATTATCTTTTCTGTCCCAAAATTAKACAATTCACCGAATTCTGGAGCCTCCTAAAACTCCTGACACCCTGGCACTGCCTGCAGCTTCCAGCTCACRTGCTCCCTCCCTGCATGTTCTTGCCCAAGGACACAGGATGGCCGTCGGTGTCCATCGCCTGGTGACTGTCACAGCTGTGTCCTCACCAGAGGGAGCTGTGTCCCACATTGAGGCACAGCCCAGTTTTGGCCCAATTCCCATTTTTACATGGACACGCTCCAGGTGACATACTGCTCAGGTCTAACGGGCACCCAAAGGTGCTCGGATTTTCATTTCTCCTGGCACCCCRCAGCTGTGCCAGGCATGGTCTGTGCCTGCCAGGAGTCTCGTATGTCAGTCCCAAAGCCCTGCTGCGCCAGGGGGCTTTGTCTGAGACTGACACTGGCTGCCAGTGCAGTGTCTGCAGGCATGCTGGGCCAGGGAGATTGGAGGAGGCTTCAGCACCAATCTCCTGCAACAGCCATTGCTTCAGCTGCCTTTGAGGATGATCCCAGACCAAGCTCCAGTRTCACAGCATGCCTGAGCTATCCTCACTCATGTGGGGACACCTGCAAGAATGACCTGCTGCCACCCCCATCCTGCCCAGAAGCAGGTCCTTTACCACCTCTGCCACCTCCCCAGTGGAACAGGCCATCTGCCCACACCCCAGCTCCAGCCAAGATGGCACTTTGCAGTCCCTTTTTGGGAAACTTTCACTCATAACCCTGCACTAAGGATGGGTATTACCAGTATCTCCCCATCAAAGCAGACTTATCAAGAGCTGTTCCAGCCCAGCCCAGGGGATTGCTTCTTCTAGTGGTTCTCCACAGATAAGAAAGCAGGTTTTCAGCCTCAGCTTTACCTTTCAGGATATATTCCCTGCCTGGAGAGGGTAATAGCCTTTCAGGCTGTTCCCTGCACTGCCATGCTTGGACAGAGCCGGGCAGGCTGGGACCAGCCCAGCCCAGARTTGTCTCTCCCAGCTGAACACAGGCAGCACCGTGGGTCAGGAGGGGCTTTCCCAGGCCCACCAGAGGCAATGTCTGCTCTGTGTCCAGGCAGCCCCGGCGCTTGCGTTTAGCACTGCTGTAAGGCCGGGAGGTCATGAGAACTTGTACAACTTTATTGGGGTCTGACAGAGCCCTGAGGAATCCCAGAGACTAACCAGGGTAGGACGGGGCTGGTGGGAGGCTGGGAGCCCACCTCTCTGCTCTCCATGGGCTCCAGCCACCTCCTCCCACCGAGCAGAGCTGTCAGGCACACCCTGCAGAAGGGCTGTGGAGCAGGAAACGTCGGGGCAGCCCAGGATGCGGGCAGAGACAGCACAAGGATGTGGTTTCCAGGCCAGTGCCCTCACCCCCTGCCTGCCTCTGAGCTGAGCTGGCAAAAGCCTCAGAGCACTGGGACCCCAGCACCCTGTGAGGGGCCATGAAGGCAGGAGAAGATCAGGAGCCCACCAGCCCCAGCTGAAGGTACGGGACAGACACTGGAGAGATCTCCCCTTCTTCTTGGAGTAAGATGAACCCTCGGCCCCCAGCTTCCCTCACCCCAGCTCTGCCCCTAACCTGCAGGAGTGCAGTCATCTCCAGTTACCCAGGAAGGCAGYTGGGAGCTCCTGAGCTGCTCCTGGCACTGCAGCCTCAGGCTGCCTGAAATAGTTTGGTCTTGTGCCACAGCAGAGCTGCGGCAGCCCCGRATCTATCACCCGGAGCGGGGCCAGGCCAGTGGTGCTTCCCAGCTCTGCAGGGCTCACCCGACCAGAACACACCAGCACCAGGGGCAGGACAGGGCTCGAGGGGCTGTGGGGCACAGGAAGGCAAGGCAGCAAATCCCTGCCTGTGCTGGATGTGGCTGGAGATCCTGCAGGGGAGTGAAAGGACAAGAAATTGTCTCCAAAACTCTGCCGGGCTGAGCATAGCTTCCTTGTTGGAAAGCCAAAAATAGTCTCTTTACTCAGAAGAGGCTGTAGGAGGAGAGATCTCACTCGAAGCACAGCCAAATACCTAGGAGGCCATAGGACAGACCCGGAGCAGCAAGGCTATGCWGAGAGGCATTATCAGACCTTGGAAAGGCAGTGGCCAGAGCTGAGCCAGCCAATAACTCCATTGCCTCCAGGCATCTCGTCATGCCGAAGGTGCCAGAGGAACCAGTCTGTCTGGCAAGGGAACACCCCCACCCTGGCAGAGCTGGGGAGCAGCAGCAGCACGCTGCCATGGCCAGCCCTTAGCTTGTGACAGGCATTCAGCTCAGAGATGGCAGCAGACAAAACTGTTCCTGTCTATTGTGGCCTGGCCCAAGGGATATCTGGGAATTACCACAGCAGCTCTACTGTCCCTGCAGTGCCAAWCCCATCACAGGCAGTGCCATTCCCTGCAGAGCTGCTGCTGCCTGCACTGGGCAACACCCAGCTGCTGCTGGGTAAGCTGGCAAAGCACCAGGAGAGCAGAAAGGCTGTGCCCTTGCCAGGGGAAYGCTTCAGGCCAATTGCTCACGTAACAGCGTTTCTGGGCTGTGCTGACTTATCATCTCCCTTTTCCTGGGGGTTTCGCTCCCTCCCCCAGCACTTCTGTGGGTAGTTATTCCTGGAAACATCCTGGAGACACTTTCAACCCTGCCTTCACCCGCTGACATTTATAGAGCTTCTTCCAGCAGCTGATGGATTTAATAGTGGAAATCTTCCCCCAGTCCATTTATGCCTTTCCCTCCATGGCGTTTGTCATTGCCCCAGCACAYGGTGTGGGCTAAAGGCAAGGCTTTCAGCTCCTGGGCAGAGAGATCCACCCTGGCAGAGCCCAGTTGTACCATCTTCTGCAAACTGTCTAATGCCCTGCCCTCCRACCTAATCCTGCCCTGGTCTCTCCCAGCCATCTTTGCTTCTCCCTTTTGGGCGGAGGAGCTGCAGGAGCTGCCAAATCCTGCAATACTCAGACTATTTCTTAAAGCCCCAGCTCCTGAAATAGCGGGAAAACTTCCAGTTCCTGATCTCCTATGGCTTCTGTGTCTTTAAGGAGTTTCTGATTCTTCTGCTTGTGCAAAAAAAAAAAGCGGGGACCAGAAGCCTGCAGCCCATGCCAGGGAGCAGAGGATGGGCACAGCACACAACCCAGGTGGACCCAGGCTGAAGARCAGTGGCTTTGGTTGCTCTGTGCCAGGGACATCTCCAGATTCGCCTGGCAGCCATCAMAAATCCCACAGGTGGTCACTCATCTTCCCTCATCACCTTCAGGAAGCAGGGCAAAAGAGATGTGTAAAGGAAAGGGGGAYGCAAGGCTGGGCTGGGGCTTGGGCAGGGTGTCAAGCACTCCCTGCAGGGTCCYTGCCCTCCAGCCATGCTGGAGCCCAAAGCCACTGAGGGCACACTGAACACATCCTTGCTCACCCAGCAGCTTTTCCAGCTGCAGGAAAACCCCCTTGTCCTCATCACAGCCCATTCCAGCAGTCTTCTGTGCAGGCCAGGCTAACAGATTCTCCGGAGCAGCCCCAATCTGACCCAGATACCCACTGGCARCACATACCACAGCTGTGAATGCATTTCCTTCGGGGAATTATTTTGGGCAYGGCCCCGTGGGACACATGCCACACCTGAATGCACTGGGAGAGTCAGGCATCACCCATGAGCACCTTGTTCAAGAAACCCAGAGATCTGCTCTGGGCAGGTCAGTACAATGAGGCAATACTTTAGTGCTCAGCTCACAGCTCCATAGTTGGGTGGGACCCTAAAACAAACCGGTATCAAGACAACTAACAACCTGTTAAAAAACCAACTTATTCTAATTACCATTAGATTGGAAGAGATATTAGCACTTTTTGCAATTTTAAGATGCTCATCAAGCATCAAACTAGTCTAACAAAATTATGGGGCAAAAGCTCCGCTGCGCCCAAGATCTCCTATATGAGGGGCACAAAGCCTTCCAGCCTCACTGAGCACCAAATTCCTGTGCTGTTCCTGACAGACAACCCCTCCAGCCAACACCTCCATTCAGAGCAGTTTGCAAGTATCCTGAGGATGCCCGGTCAGACTGAGGGTGTGGGACTACTTGGCCAAGGATCATAAATCTCAGCTTCTCCTKTGGGGTCACAMCCCACACCAGCAGCAGGTGATGGAGCATGAGCCAAAGGCGATGGGGAACACCCTCATCCCAGCATACTGTCAGGGTGACTGGGTCAGACAGGCCCTTCTCCCACCAGCACCCCCAGACTGCTCTTCTCTCCCTGCTCTGGCATCTGTCAAAAGAGCTCAGCACCAGGCACAGTCAGAAGGGCACAGCGCTGGGAGCTGGGCCATGCTGGAGTAAGAATGGGACATGAGGATAGAGCAGAACTGTTTTTATTGGAGGTGTCAAGAGCAGGAACAAGAACAAACCTACAGGCTCCCTCCTCAAGTGCCATCCTCCCCTTGCCCACCACCACCACCACCACCACCACAACTGAGGCAGTCAGCATCACGTGTGCGTGCTACAAGACAACGGCCAAGGCTTACACTTTGCTTCAGCCAAAAGCCAGGCAAAGCCCCCAGCATCCCGCCGTCACCCCCTCCTTGGCAACTGCGAGCTCAGCTTGGCCCTGCCAGGGGCAGGACAGGACATTCACCTTCCCCTCTGAGGAGGGGTGAGCTTTGTGTGAGATGTGGTTAAGGGAAGGACAGGAGCACAGCTCCACCAAAGTGCCAGGGGATGTGACCTGGGCTGCAGCTCCCAGCAGGACATCTCAGAGGAGCCTGGGAGAGAGCAAGCTGWGCAGCCTGAGCAGAGCTGCAACAGCTGCAGGCAAAAAACGGCATCGCTAAACCCCAAAGGGCTTCGCTGCCCCCTCTCTTCAACAGAAACCAAACCAAAGGGAGAGGGGTCAGGAGACAAACCAGGAGGGGATGTGAGGCAGGTCTGGAACTGCGTTTGGCTCTGGCTCACTTCCCAGCCCATCGCTCCTCCTGGCGCTTGGTAAGGATGTATTTGAAGAACTCGTACACGGACCAGGCAATCGCTGTCGAGGGCATCTGAAAAATGACTCTGGCCTGGACCCCTCTGAAGTAGGCGGTCACACCGCCCACCTGGTACACCGTCCTGAAGGCATTAGCCATGCCTGTGATGTGTCCGCTGATGTTGGAGCTCAAGGCCAGGGACTCCTGGGTGTTGAGCAGCGTTTTGCAAACGTCCAAAGGCGTAGTGGCAGCAGCAGCGACAGCCCCCGCACAGGCTCCGGAGACCACGTGGGAGCCTGGGTTGTACTGTCTGTGGGGGTTGAGCTGCTCTTGCAAGAACTCGTAAGTCATGAAGTGAATGGCTTGGAAGGGGATGTTCATGGTGAGCTGGGTGGTGTAGCTGCGGTAGAAAGCTCCGGCCCCTTCGTTGCGCCACACAGCCCGTACACAGTCCATGACACGCTGGTAAGGCGAGTTGTACATCTGCATCCTCTGCTTGACCACTTGGGACAGGCGGTGGCAGCAGCAGCAGCAAGGACACAGGCACGGAGGGGAAGAGGAGAGAGAAGGGTAAACACGAAGCCAGGCTTCCTCCAAATGCTTGGAATTTGGTCACACTGGCCTAAGAGCTGAAGACAGATAACTCCAACCACCAGTGCCCCTCCTGTCTCCAGACAGGACACCAGGCATTTAAATGTGCTGAGGCATCACTGTCACACACACATCACCACTGTGAAGCCACTCACATGCCACAGCCCCAGGCGACATCATGATATCCCATTGCTTACACTCCAGATCCACCCTGGCTCCCGAGCAAATGTTTCCCTATCCACTGCTGCAGAGCTAKCACTCAGAAGAACAGCCCCTGCACCCAGTCTCTTATTTCCCAGACAGCTCTGGACCTGGATACGACTGTCCCTCCCCCACAACCCCCACTGCAGCCCAGAATAACCACAGCTCATTGCAGAGCCCACTACAAAGCCCACTGATTAGCAGCCACTGCCGAAATGCAGCTGCTCCAGGGCAAGATGCAGATGCCAAACCCCCCTACCACATCCAAGAGAGGGACAGGAGAGCTCAGAGCACAGCCTGCCCCAAGGTTCCACCTCCCCCTATCTCAATGTGACCACAAGGAGCTCAAATGACATTATGCTGATCTATTAGAGTCATGATAAGAGAAGCTCCAGAGAAGGAATGACAATAGTCTGGCAGCTCATGGTCGCAGCCTTGCAGTGGGGAGGCACGAGCTGTGCTGGGTGGGCCCAGATCAGCTGGAGCCTGCACTTTCACAAGYCCTCCAAGCTTAAGAGGGAAAAATACCTTCACAACTGGCCTTTCCTCACTGCTTCTCCTTCTCCCACCGCATTCATGGATTTATACTGCAAACTCTCCACACCATTTTCATATATACCAGGCTCATCAAAATCAGCATCTTCCACACATTTCAAAACATCTCCCTTCTCCCAGATTTTCTAGCATGTTTTTGTACYGCACTCTTTTGATTTTCTTCTTGAACACAGACCCACAACTGTACGGCATCTTCCTGAGTTCTCATCACAGCAATATCCAACTTCCACACACTTGGAATCACTTCAGCAGTGCCAATCACATCCCTCTTGCCTTCTCTCCTCCTCCAAGTAACAGTTCCCAGCCAAACTCCTGGGTGAAAGGCCCATGCCCTCCCAGCTCCTCCCAAGCTGTGCTTTGCTGTGCTCCCAAATTATTCTCTTCTACCTACCCTGTCCATAACAAGGAGCCACCAGGGTCTTTAACCAGAGCCACAAGAGAATCCCTGCAGTCRGGCAAGTAACAAGAGCACCCTTCGTGCCACAGAGGGGACCCAAGAGGCTCGGGCAGACCCTGATTCTCCCCTCCCCAGCAGTCCAGGAACATCGTTACCTTCAGCAGGGTTCATGGCTGCATCGTGGAGCAACGTTGCTACACACCCGGCTGCACCTGCAAAACAAGAACTGCCACATGTGAGRGGGGGAAAGGTGAGGGACTCTGGGGCTCCACCACAGCCCCAAGTCCCCGGCCAAGGAGGCCCCTGGAAAAAGGCTGAGATCTGAGGTGACCGCTATGTCCCCTTCAAAAGGCAGGCTGGTCCTCAGGGGTTCCCACCCAGAGTGACATCAAGAAAGAGAAGAAGATTGTGACAGGCCACCAAGKCTCATAGGGTGACCAGGACTCAATTGTGCCCTCTCCTTGGGGGACAGGCCAACGTCCTGGGGRCCTTCAGATGGTGACTGTCCCCATGGCCCACGGAGAAACCCGCTGGCACTCTGCTGCATGCCTGCCAAGGGCGAAACGTGCCCTGCTCTCCCCTCTGCCCCATGCTCTCCCTACTGTGGCAGGTCCTTGAGATGAGTAACGGGCGCCATGGTGAGACGGGCTCCGAAACCACGTGGCATTCCTGGGGCGAGCTCTGGCACTGCCAACCCACGGGGCCACGGCCAGTCCCGGCTTGTCTGCAGGCAGCTCCYGTCCACCAGCATCCTTCCGAGCCAGGGCCACTAACCTGCTTCACACCAGATACCTGGCAGCAGCTCTGGCAGGCGCGGAGCGGTGCTTCCCCGTGCCCGGCACCGAGCGGCTGGCTCACGGCTGGAGAGAGCACACGGCTTTAGGACATCCACGGCACCCCGACCCCGCGGCGGGACCGGGCCTCCCTACCGCCAGACCTGCCGCTCCCACCCCCTCCCTCCCCGGCGTGGCGGGGCCGGTACCGTTGGCCACATGGCTATTGCCCCCCGCGTGGATAACGTCGCTCAGCGTCTTTTTTAACTTTTCGTAGCAGGCGAAGTAGAGGGCGTGCGCCGGGCCGGCGCCGGTGGCGGTGATGTTCAGGCCCCGCATGGGCCGCCAGACGCCTTCGGTGCGGGCGATGCGCCACAGGGCCTCCAGCACGTTCCGGTAGCGAGCGGCGGGCTCCGGCTGCAGGCTCTGCATCCGCGTCTGCAAAACAGGGCGGGCCCGGCCGGACGGCTGGTCASACGCTGCCCGGGGCTCCCGGTATGCCGCCCCGTCCCCTCCCTCCCCGCGCCCGCCGCGCCGCCGGCACCTTGACGCAGTCGATGGGGTACATCACGCAGTGCTCCATGACGCCCGCCACGGCGCCCGCCAGCATGTGCGTGGACACGGCGGCGCCCTGGGGCAGCGCCTCGTAGTCGGGGGCGGGCGGGGAGCGCGGCTCGGGGCCCCCCGGGCCGGAACCGGGACCGGGACCCGGCGCCACCTCCGTGTCCGCGCCGCCCCGCCCCTCCACGGCGCCCATTGGCCGCCGCCGCCCGGTGCCCGCCCCCGGAGCGCGCCCATTGGCTCGACCCGCCGCGCAGCGCCCACGCACGCCGTTCTCATTGGCCGGCGGCGCCGCGGCTCGAGCGCCGCCACTGGCGGGCCGCTCCCTCCGGCGCGTTCGGGCGCGCTGCCCGTTGGCCGCCGGGAACCGCCCGCCCTGCCGGCCCTCGCAGCCCATTGGGTGTCTCAACTTGGCGCCCCGCCCCGCCGCGCAGCGCCCACGCACGCCGTTCTCATTGGCCGGCGGCGCCGCGGCTCGAGCGCCGCCACTGGCGGGCCGTTCCCTCCGGCGCGTTCGGGCGCGCTGCCCGTTGGCCGCCGGGAACCGCCCGCCCTGCCGGCCCTCGCAGCCCATTGGGTGTCTCAACTTGGCGCCCCGCCCCCCCGCGCAGCCCATTGGCAGGCGGACCCGCGACCTTTGGCCCGCTCGCCCCGCCTCCCCGCGGGGCCGGAGAGCTTCCATTGGCCGGCGAGCCCGCCACTCCGCACGTCGGCGCGTGCTGTGTATTTGGGCGCTCGGGATTGGCTGGCAGTGTCCGCGTGACGCCTCCCGGCGAAGGTCKGGCGCGGGAGCGAGGGAGCAGCCGGGCACCGCCCCCCCGCCCGACGGGCGCGTCCCTCCCCAGTGCGATTGGTCGCCGTGCCCGGGGGGCGGGGCTCTGCCCGGCGGGGAGCGGCGGCGGTGGCCGGTGACGTGTCCGCCGGTGCCGGCGGCGGTGCCGGCAGCGGCGATGCGCGGGCGGGCGGCGGTGGGTGCACATGGCCAGGTTAGCGGGATCGGGCCGGGTCGGTGGGTCGGGGCCTGCGCGGTGCCGGTGCTGAACGGTGGCCTCTGCCCTCAGGATCGGTGTCTCCTGCCTGTCGTGGCGCTCGGTGGGACCGTGTCCTGGGCCGCGGCAGCGCCAGGCTGCGCTGGGGCTCGCTCTCCTCTTGGGGCTGCTGCTGCTGCTGGCGGCCGCCGTGCCTCGCCGCTGGGCCGCGCCGCCCCGCGCCTCCCGGCGGGACGAGAGGTGAGCGGGGACTGGGCTGCCGGGGGAGCGGGGTCTCCGCCGGCCGCCGGTGCTGAGCCGTCGTGCCGCCGTGYCCCAGGTACCTGGCGCGGGCGGAGGAGCTGACGGCCACCGACACCGAGGACTCGTCCCTTAATTAYGGGGTGGTGGTGGACTGCGGGAGCAGCGGATCCCGCGTCTTCGTCTACTTCTGGCCCCCGCACAACGGGAACCCCCATGACCTGCTGGACATTAAGCAGATGAGGGACCGGAGCAGCCGCCCCGTCGTCAAGAAAATTAAACCCGGTGCGTGCTGCCCCTGTCCGGCCCCMGCCCCGAGCCCCCGCGCACGGACGGGGCGCGCTGGCTCACGGCCGCCTTCCCCGCCAGGCATCTCCGTGACCGCGGCAGCCCCCGAGCAGGCGACCCCCTACCTGCGGCCTCTGCTGCGSTTCGCGGCAGCGCACGTCCCGGCGCGGAAGCACAAGGAAACGCCGCTGTACATCCTGTGCACGGCGGGGATGCGGCTGCTGCCCGAGCAGTAAGTTCGCCGCCTTGTCAGGCGAGCCAGGGATGCGCTGGGAACCCTCACCCTTGAGCAAGGGCAAGAAAGCTGCCCGCTCTTGARCCTGGTGGGAGATTGGAGAACCCTGTGGGGGGGATTGAGAAAGGAAAGGGCAAATGTTGGGGCAAGTGGCAAGGAATGCAGGAGGATTTGAGCGTGCTGGGAGGGAGCTGAGAGGAGATACTTTTGACTGAGGGTCTCAAACAGATAGATCTATTTTTCATTTCCAAAACATGCTGGCTGCAGCAGCAGAACTTGAGGGGTTGAACAGTGGATGTAGTGCAGTGTGATTCCTGGTCTCTTCCCCAGCATCTCTGGTGAAGGTCCCCCAACATCTGTCCCTCTCCTGTGCCCTTGCAGGCAGCAAGCTGCAATACTGGAGGACTTGGTGAGAAACGTGCCCCTGGAGTTTGATTTCCTCTTCTCCAAATCTCACGCAGAAGTGATCTCAGGGAAACAGGAAGGTAGTAGTTGCCACAAAGTGCTGTTTGTTCTTCTCTAGTATGTTGTCATAATGACCTTTTCTGTCTTCTGCAGGTGTCTATGCATGGATTGGCATCAACTTTGTCCTGGGACGGTTTGATCACGAGGATGGTGAGTCTGGCTGCTTGTAGAACAGCTGGGAGGGTCTAAATAGAACTGTGCTGGACCTTGTACCAGTGTGGTAGCTAAGATCWACCTCTGGAGTAGGCAGCAATGCCTGACCCCTGTCATACATGTGAAAACTCTCCCAGATCTGGGAGGTGCTCGGGGTCTGCCTGCAGGGTTGCCCCAYGAGGCAGCTGTGGGGATGATGTTGGAAGGGAGATGCTGCCCCAGGCCCTCCCTCTCTCTCACTGACACACTGCCTGGGTTGCAGAGGAGGATGCAGTTGTCACCGTAGCGCTGGGGGACCAGGGGAAGTCTCTGGTTCGGAAACGAACAGTTGGGATCCTAGACATGGGAGGCGCCTCCCTGCAGATTGCCTACGAAGTGCCCGACTCYGGAGCCATCTCCTCCCCACAGCAGGTGTGTATCTGGCTGGTCCCTGGGAGCAGCTCCTGCCTTCCCTGGATTGCTGCTGATCATGGACCCTGTCTGTGTCACCAGGAGGAGGCTGCTAAGAGCTTGCTGGCAGAATTCAACCTGGGCTGTGACGTGCAGCACACTGGCCACATGTACCGTGTCTACGTCAACACTTTCCTGGGCTTCGGGGGCAATTTTGCCCGGCAGCGCTATGAGGAACATGTGCTGAACCAAACCTATGTGCACAACCGGTATTGCTGCCTCACCTACTGATGCCTCTGCTAGAGCATTGTGAAATGTGGTGCTGATTCCTTCATGTTGCCCTCTCCCCTTGGRTTTGGCTCAAGAGCCGCCTGTGGTGATAACAGCTCCCACAGCCACGCTGGCAGCAGCCTTGTGGCAGTGGCAGGTGCCTGGGCTGGCACAGAGTGCTTGGCCACTGCCCTTTTCCAAGCCTGGCAGCTGTTATCAGTGCCACAGCTCTCTGCCTTCCTCCTTCTCTCCTCGTGACAGGCTACGGGGAGGTCCCTCTAGTGGCTTTTGGCTTTTCCTGCTCTGGCTTTCCCTCCTCCAGCACCGATTCACTCAGCACATCCTTTCATTGCATCCCCACCTCGAGCTCTCCTGTCTCTCCTTTCCTTCCAAGAGCACTACGTGAAGCTGTCGCCAGAGGTGGAGAGGCTTGGTGCCCAGGTACTCCTGTGCCAGGAGCAAACYCTGCCTCCAGATCCCCAGGGGCTGTGTAGAGGCACAGATCCCCGTGGGCTGGGTGGGGTGGGCTGTGCCTTGTTGCACCCTACAGGTGCTCAAAGCATGTAGCTTTAGGCCAGCATGACAGATCTGTTGAGTTCAGCCTTAGCAAGACGTGGCAGGGCAGGCACCAGCACTGCAGGGTACAAGYGGACAGAGCCTCGTCTGGTGCAGAGAGCATCTGGATGTGGGACAAGGCTAGATTAGGGTTTTGGGAGTTGGTATAGGACCCCTGTACCATTGCTATTTCTTCCTGGACTGTTTTCCAGCCTGCACAGCCAGCAGACAGGGCTGAGCCCCAAGATGCCCATCTTGGACCCCTGCCTGCCCRTGGGGCTGGAGGACACGGTAGTGAGGGGCGGCCAAACCCTGTACATGCGGGGGCRAGGGGACTGGCAGGCCTGTGCAAAGCTGCTGCAGCCCCTGCTCACTGGGTCCAATGGCAGCTATGCCTCCCTGGTGGAGACCTACAAAGCACCCATCGACTTCAGCAACAGCGAGTTTTACGGCTTCTCGGAGTTTTTCTACTGCACCGAGGACGTGCTGCGCCTGGGGGGCCAATATAATGCCCCCACCTTCATCTCCGCYGCTCAGGTGGGTTCCTGCTGTTCCTGGGGCTGGGAGTGAAGGCTGTTTCTCTGCTCTGAACCCCAACTTCCTCCCCCAGGAGTACTGCAGCCAGCGGTGGGAGCTGCTGATCCAGCGTTTCCATGGTGGCCTCTATTCGGCGCACGCTGACCAGCACCGGCTGAAGTAAATGGACTTGCTGGGGAGTGCCATGACTGACCTCCCGGGGAGCTTTTGCTGGAATAAGGGACCGGTGCAGTTGTTAGTGTGTGGCTGATGCTCCTGTGTGCTGTGTCTGCAGGTATCAGTGCTTCAAATCAGCCTGGATGTACCAAGTCCTTCATGAGGGCTTCCAGTTTCCACTGGACTACCCCAGCCTGCGCACGGCCCAGCTGGTGTACGACCGGGAGGTGCAGTGGACGCTGGGTGCCATCCTCTACAAGACAAGATTTCTGCCACTCAGGTACCATCAGCTYGCTGATGCCATCATGAAAGAAGGGGAGGGTGGCTGGGGAGGAGCAGGAGTAACTGCACTGGGTCAGAACTCTGCATGGACCACGGCAGGACCCTGGCAGTACTCCACGACATCTCATGGCCRGTCTTGACATTCCTTTCTATAGGGATCTCCGTCAGGAGAGCATCCGGCAAGCACACGCCTCCTGGCTGCGCCTCTCCTTTGTCTACAACCACTATCTTTTCTTCGCTTGCATTCTGGTCGTGGTGCTGGCCATCGTCCTCTACCTCCTGCGGCTGCGCCGCATCCATCGCCGGCAGCTGCGCTCGGCCCAGCACACCCTGCTCTGGCTGGACAAGGTGGTGGTGCCGCTGGGCCAGGGCAGCGTGCCGTGACACCAGTGCTACCCATCGTCCAATTGCACCAGCACAACTAGGACTGGCTGACAGCCTGGCCTCCAAGGGCTTGGACTCTTATCCATCTCGAACTCTGCACTCCATCATCTCTGCGTCACAACCAGAGTCTGTGGGCTGAGGCAGCTATGGACACAAGAGCTTTCCTCTCTACCTAGCCCCAGTTCTAATCTTTGCATTCCTTGGCCTCCGGCCTTTGCCTCACTATGTGGTGTAGAGCAAAGTCCTCTGCTGCCAAMGGGCTCAAGGCTGCGGCCCTGCCAGATCCCTCAGATAACAGGACACTATCACTGAGGCAACCAATCCCAGGCTCTGGCCTGAAGCACTGAGCCACCCCATGACTCAGCCACCGGTTTGCAGAGCAACCTGGTGAGGTGCTGTGGTTCATCACCTGGGATTGCCTTTCTGCTGGCCCTGACAAGCCCGGGACTGGGGAACAGCAGGCAACAGCTAAGTTACTGCAGGAATGAGGTAAACCATGAGATCCACCAGGCTGCTCTGCCCAACCTGGCCCCTCTTGGAGCATTTTTGAAGAGCTGTACTGCTCTTTGTCATGTATTCCCTCCAAGGACAATCCTACCCAACATCCCAGACAGCCCTGAGGGCTCATTGATTCTTAAGGCATGACCAAACTGGGCTGCCTTTCCTTTCATACATTCCTTCCTGGGCACAGCTGCCGTGTGGTGCCCCACACGTTTACCAGGTACTGGTGTCAGGACCTGTGGTTCTCTCCTCCATGAGCGCAGGCTGGGCCTGCCCTGGGAGAGCCACCTCAGTCCAGCCCAGCCCAAAACCCCTGCACAGGTCRGGGCTGAGGCTGTGCACATAGGCACAAACCTTCCCCGGGGCTGGAGCCCAAATGGTTCAGTGAAATTTGTCACTTTATTGAACTCTGCTGTTCCCATTCTTGTAGCAATAAACAAACYCCTTGAGCCATCCAGCACTGGTCTCATTTCCTACGGAGCAGTTCCCAGCAGCGATGGCTCCTGGCTGGGGGGCTGTGTGTCTGCACAGCACTGCTGTTGCTTTGTGCTGCCACAGTGGGACAGTGGAGCTCCTTTCCTGCCTATATTCTGATTCCAGCAGAAAGACAGCTGAACTTAACGGAGCTGGTAGCAGCAAGGGGAGCTCTGATCTGAACCAAACTGTTGGGATTGTTGGAGACAGCATCCTTTGCTGTCCTCTTCCTAAGAGGAAAAGCCTGCCCACACAGAGTCCCTGCACGATGTTGGTCTCTGCTTTTTACCTTATTAGCCACCCAAGACTTGAGAGCTGCCTGGCAAAGAGGCCATTGAGCTGCTCCAGCTGCTGCACAGCCATGGAAATGGCCCCAGCACAGCTGCCAGGGCCTGGGCAGGTACCCAGTTCTCTCCAGGACATACAGTTCCCTMCCTGTGACCCTGGTCCCACAGCACAGGGCACAGGTGGCATCAAGGACACAGCTTTCCATACACCAGTGTGCTGCCAACCTCCTACTCAACAGCTGAGGATCTGAGCCTTGTTCTCACAGTGCAAGAACACTGCTGGAAGAAGGAAAGATGACTGAATAAAGCCAACACTGTCCCTCAACCTCAAAGCAGCAAATGACTCAGCCTCCAGCATGACTTACTAGAAAAAGGATTTATTTSCACAACACATATTAAACAACACAAATAAATAAATAAATACAGATAAATTATCTGATAAATAAGGGAAACCTGAAACACAATGCCCTATTTGGCTATTGGCAGAACCTGGACCCATCGTGATGTGGTGAAAATACCTAAACACTACTGCAGCTGCCTCACTGCAGGGAGACACCGCCCTCCTTTCATCCCCTCCAACAGACTCCAAAACCTCCCTTATTACACCCAAAGGGGTCTGTCTGCATGCTCCACCAGGGTCAGCCCTCCCTTCTCCAACCCACAGCCAGAATCTGTGTTTGCAGGGGCTACCCCCACCACAGGGAGCTGACCAGACCAACAAAGGATGTAATAGCTCCTGCCTTCTCATGCAGAGGGGCAGCCAATGGATGTAATGAACAGGGACATGGCAAGTAGTTGGGCTACGAGCAGGGGCATTTCACGTGGGGACTAGGGCTGAACACCAAGGGGACAGGGCAAGCACTGCTTGGGACAGGATACGCTGGCACCACACACAGATCCCTCACAGGATGGTGCTCAGTCACTGCAGCACTTGGCCAGCTGAAGGGATCTCTCCCCARTAGTGTGGCTGCTCCTAGTGCTGGATTAGTAGGCTCTCGTCCAGGGGTGCTGCCTGCCATGCTCGGGGGGCAGCCATCCATCAGTCCAGGCTGCAGAGCTCCAGGGGTGCTCGGGCAGCGGATCCAGCCTCTGTCCCAGCACCTCTGGGGGCTCTCTGGTGCAGGAGAGTAGAGGCTGGAACAGCTACAAGAGCTGGGGAGGGAGAAAGGAAGACAAGTTAGCACCAAASTGCATTCATTAGGGAGTTCCCACAAATTTGAGAACTACAGTGCTCTATTTGGTCAGGTTCAGCACAGAGCCAAAAGCTTCACAATGGGACCAGCTCACCACAGCCACAACGCACAGAAGCCAAAGCATATACCCCAGTCCAGCAAGGGCTGAGCTGCAGCTCCCTCCCCAGCCTGATACAGGCAAGCAGGCAGGGACATGTCTGCCCCCCCAGCTCTCTGCTCACTCACGGTGATGGGTTTGATGGGGTCTCTGCTGAGGTGCCAGCTCCCAAGGACTGCTTACTCCCAGAGGAAGCGCACGTACCAGATGGTCTCGTTCTTCAGCTGCGGCCCGAACAGGGGATTGGCCTGGGCCAAGATGGCAATGAGCCAGCTGCAAAGGGACACAACCTGCCGTCAGACTCTCGGCAGGACCAGCCGGGAGCGGCTGCTGGCCCGGGGGATGATGGGCCCGGKAGGGAGGCGGGCGGCAGCCCCGGGGCTCTCCTGTTCATCCACGGAGGATGCTAGGCAGCAGCCACCGGTCCCGGCGAAGCCAGGGGAGGTGAGAGAAAGCGTASGGAGCCCGGCCCGCGGTACTCACAAGAGGTAACAGCACACGGCGGTGGTGACTAGCATCGTGATGATCACCCTGAAGAGACACCGGCGTTAGCACGGGAAGGCCCAACCCCAGAAACCCCGACCACGGTACCCCCCGAGCCTCCACTCACCCKCGGTTCGGCCCCTTGGGCACGAACCAGGGGGCGGCGATGCCCACGAGGCCCCAAAAGGCCGAGAAGAGGACGAGCGGCAGCGCGAAGCTGTGCGCCGTCATGGCCGCTCCGCACCGGACACGGCCCCGCCCGCGGCCCCGCCCACTGCCGCGCCGCGCCGCCAATCCGCGCCCGGAGCGCGCCGCGCCTGCGACACCGTCACCTTCCATTGGCGGACACGTTCGGCTCGGCCCGGCCCGGCCCGGCTCGGCTCGGCTCGGCTCGGCTCGGCATCCCCGCATCCCACCGCACCTCGCTCCGCAAAGGAGCACCCAGCCACACACAGCCGCTTCACAAAATTTCTTTATGTTACAAAAGTCGCACTCACACCCGCCGCCGCCGCCTCCCGCGCCAGCCCGGCTGGGCACACATCGCCTTGCGCAGCCGGGTGAGGSCCCTCGGCCGCCCCCGGGCCCGGCGGTGCGGCTCCCCGAGAGGGCTCTGCCGCGGTGCGTTACTTGGGCACTCTCCGGAGCTCGCTCATGAGCCACAGTGCCATGCTRAGCAGGGCCAGGGAGCCCGACTGGTGCGTAGCAGCCAGAGGTGTAGGGACATAAAGCAGTAGCGTGCTGATGCCCAGGCCCACCTGCCAAGAAGAGAGAAATGAGATAAGAGTGCTTGTGGATGCACCATTGATACCATTCCCAGCACAAAGTGTGGTGTAGAAAGGCTCACGGCCACCCCAGGACTTGTCACTCCCACATTCAGAGCATGCATACAGTATGGTGAGGTGAGGGGTCTAGGCAACTCCACCTCTCAGCTCCAGGCTCTTGGAGCCAGCAYAGATCTAACTGGGATCAGCTCTGCCTTGTGAACATGATACAAAGAAGTACGGGGAAAAAAAAAGGCAGTACCTGCATGCAAGCCACAGCCAGTAAGGAAGTCACAGCCATCCTGGTCCTCCGAGGGAGTGGSATCTTTCTTGAGAAGAGGTACAATGCTGTGACAGCTGTGAAGGAGGCAATTCCCTACAGAAGGGAARGAAAACAACCACCCTTCAAGGTAAGTTCAAGGCAAATGGGTGCAGTGGCCTTTGGCTTTGCCTTACATGAAGTAAAAGAAATTCTGTGAGCAATATTTAACTAAAGAAATATATTAATGGCCATGACCAAATCCTAGAGCTCCCACACCTTCAGRTTAACAACCCTGAAATGTAAGTGAAGTTAAGAGTTTTATTTTGATGCCAAATTAATATTTTACTTCCCAACAGCTTTTCCTCATTTATTCAAGTCATTAGAGATTATGTCTGCCCTCTCCCCAGCTGCCACCTTGACAACTGAAGGCTATCATCTGGAAAAATGATCTCATTTCCACCACTATAGTTCACCAGCATAATCTTGCTGTGCAGGTCACCTCAGCTGATCCAGCCTAATCTTTCCTTTTTTAGCCTTAGCCATGGCTTAGCTCACAGCAGTGCTGCCAGTGGTATTTAATATCCGGATTGCTCYAACTAGCTGAGGTATTTTCACAGGGCACTATGGTGCAAAACAAGTTCAGAAATGCTGGAGGAAGCATTCAATATCAGGATTTCCAAGTTTTATTTCACACAGCTTTCCCAGACATTTCAATAGCAAGGGCTACCCCACACTGTAGCTCATGTTATGGAAACAAAGACTCAGAGAAACAAAGTGCGTTACTTGCGCAGGAGGAAGACCTCCTTAAGGAAGAAGGCCACACTGAAAATAAATAGGAATGCTAAACTTCCTCTTCCTGCAGAAGCAAACTGGTAAGATGCTCTCAGGCCCTTTGGACACCCGAGAAATCACTCAAGCTGACAGAACCACAGCCCAAAGAAGRCAGTTTGGCTGCAGGAGGCAACCAAGAAGCAGCCCAGACATATCAGGAAGACACCACTTACCAAGATCCTGTGATCAAACTGTACAGTTGTAGGATTCTCAAAGATATTTCTCAGCACAGGGGAGAAGGCAAGGAGATCATCTGGGATCCAGCGCTCCCCCATTTTGGGGAAGGAATTGTACACAAGGCCAGCATCCAGCCCTGCCACAAAGGCACCTGCAATTCCAGAGCARAAAATGAGACTACCAGAGGAGGCAAAGGTCTCACTCCAGGCTGCCCAGCTCTGATTCAAGAGCTCAGCTTGAGCCTTWATTTCTTTTAGAAACATATACAGAAATCATACAGCACAGGCAGGCTGGAAGGTGCATCTCCACCTGCCCAGGAAAGACCAGTGAGGAGGTTCTTGACTGTAAGCGCCCTGATATCGGCAGTTTTTCCAGAGAATGGGTGGGTTGCTCACAGTCCCCACCAGATCAGAAGSAAAAGACCAAACCAGCAGTGAGGAATGAGTCACAAATTGGCCAGTAAAAAGAGCGAGCTTTACCTGAAAGAGCAGTAAGAAAAATGAGAGCTGTAGTGCCATGAGCATATTGTCTCAAGCGAAGGAGCTGATGGGTTTCTGGCAACTGTTAAATAAAAAAAGAATTAATCAAAGCATTTCCAGTGCTGTTGGCAGCAGSTAAGAAAAGCCTTCACTACAAAGAGAGGCCAAACGGTTGGCCTGTATTTTACTGGGGGCATCTATACATCACCACGCAGCAGTTGCACATCCCCTCAGAATTGTAACTAATCGAGTCCAGGTCTGTGCAGAAACTGAAGAGTCCCCTGGACAGTTACTGGCACAAACCATTTAGCCCAGCCAGGCACACCCCKGCCTGAGCTTCCACAAATTCTGAGACTAATCACTTTTAACTTGAACGAGCATGAGCCAAAGCAAGTCCCATAACCAAGAAGTTTACAGAATAGGTATTTTGTAACACTGTAAGTCTTCTGTAAGGATTAGATCAGAGTCAGGAACACAGACTACAAGAGAAGCACCATCAGCCTTCACATCCTTTTCTTACCCTTCACATCACACCCCAAGCCTCAGAACTGACACTTCACCAGGCTTTTAAATCCTGATGCACCACTCCATACCTTGTGTCGTGGAAGCAGCAAAGACAGCCCTGTCCACAGGCTGGCAGAGTACAGAACCAGTGCAGAGCCCAGGTGTGCTGCCAGGCGGTACTGACTGACCCGAGGGATGTCATACGAGTCTGGCTTCTCTTCCAGCCCACTCTTCACCATGTACCATCCCAGCAGTCCCTAAAAAACCAGGAGAGGGCTTAGAGCCAGAGGGGGCAGCAGCAGTTACTAAAATGAGATAAACATTAGGGGAAAAGCAACTTGTTTCCTTTACCTTCAACTAGGTACCAGCACTGACATGCTGTCATGGTGTCACTGACACCAAGATGTCATGAATCCCACTGTCTCAGAAGATATCAAACTGACAGAGGGTAGGTTTAGATTAGATATTGGGAAAAAATCACTGTGAGGATKGTGGGCACTGAAACAGGYTACCCAGAGAAGYTGTRGATGCCCCACCCCTGGCCAGGTTGGATGGAGCTCTGAGCAAACTGGTCTAGTGACAGGTATCCCTTATTGGCGGGTTAAAACAAGATGATCTTTYRGGTCATTCGGTGACATCCAYACATTGTCACTATCCCTGTGGCTGCAGAGCTCTCACCTGGAAGCAGACCAGCCCACAGAGWGCGAGGACACGGCCCTTGAGGGGCCGGCTGAGCCAGCCCCGGCGCCAGAAGTAGGCAGCAGGCAGGATGTAGGCCAGGCCCACGACACGGCCCCACATGCGGTGCGAGTACTCCATGTACCAAATGAACTTGAACTCTGCCAGCGTCATGTCATGGTTCAGGCTGTTAAAGGACAGCAAAGCAATTGTTTCACAGCCCCGCGCTGAACTTTGCACCACACRGGATTGCCTTCCTCAGATAACGGAAGGGATCAAAGGAGCCGCCACCAGAAAGGCTTTGTGTGTCTTCCCAGTGACTCCAGAAAACATTTTCCTTCTTACAAGGATTTTTTGGGTGGCTCAGTTGTTGGAGGGATGCTCTCAGCCCGCCCTCCTTTGAATTTTGAACTCACATTTTAAACTCTGGGAACTGCTGGTACTTCTGGAACTCAGCTTCCCACTCCTGCTGCGTTYGGGGGGGTTTCATCTCCTTCACCAGGTGCCAGTCGACCATAGAAAGGCCTGATTCTGTCAGCCTGGGAGCAGAGACATGAACAGGCACACCTTACTCCCTTACGGTAGGCAAATCTGCTGCACAACAACCCAGGAGCAGGGACTTCAGGTGCCTGTGGGTCCCTTCAAAGTCAGGATATTCAGTAGTTCTGTGATAACCCTTAAAACCCTTGTTTAGACAATCTTTAAGCTCACAATTAGAAGCAGGATGGAGATGACAGTCTGGAAGTGATCAGATCTAAAATTACGATAAATGTGTAAGAGWTACCCCCTAGTGGCATCAACAGATGGAGAAGCCTCTCCGGCACTCCCAGCCCTATCCCACCACGTTCCCTTGCAGTCAGGACGGGAAGACACGAGAGGAGCTCTCACAGGCACTCTCGGGTGGSTCTCGGGGTGGGGACAGCCGCAGAGGGTCACCGGCGGCACAGACCGGAGGGCGACAGGGACGGCCGCCTCCAAGGAACCYCTCTGCGCCCCTGCCGGAGGGGCTGGGGGTGCCGCGCTCACCTGGTGACGCCGCCCAGCACCACGGCACCGGCCACGGCGCCGCTGCAGACCAGGAGCCATCGCCCCACGGCGGGCGGTGTCGCGGCGGGCGGCGGCGCCTGGTGCAGCAGGTGTCGCTGCTGAAGGCAGAGCCGCGGGGGCAGGCGGCCGCGTGTGGGCGGTGCCGGTAGCGACACCGGTGAGGATCGCCCCCGCCCCGCGTCCCTCAGCAGCCGCCGGGCCCCGCCGCGCGCCGCCAGCAGCATCCCCGCACGCGCCGGAAGTGGCGCCGCCGGAAGCGCGGGACGAGCACTTCCGGACACGCCCGGGCGTCGCCATGACGATCACGCGGCGCGTGACCGGAGCGCAGAGCAGCGACCCCCGCGCGCCGCCAGCGCAGGTGGTGAGGGCGCGTGCGGGACGGGGGCGGG